CAGTTTAATCTGTGGATGTTGATATACTATATAAATATATAGATTTAAAAAAAAAAAACCTCATCCTGCCTTGGTAGCACTAAGTGGACTTGATTCTAGTAAAAAATATTAATGCTAATAGAAATTCAGAATGCTATTGCTATGCCCAACAAGAACTATTTGTGTGCTTTTAGTGGAAGAGATCTCAATAAATACTAGCAGCTTGTCTTGGAACCTAATGCTGCCAGTAAGTCAGGATAAAGCGTGGCAGGAAATACTTGTAGCTGTACGGTTGAAAAAGGGAAGGAAAACAGTGTAAATACTACTTCATTGAACATTTTTTTGTCTACTGCGCTTCAGAAGGTTTGGGTGTGAACCTACTAAACACAGGCCATTTCCAAATATGATGGAAATATGACCATAACAGAATTTTCCTTGAATTTTTTTAGAAGTTAAAAATTTGTTGCTCATCGAGACACAAAATGCGTTCGGCGGTGAGGTAAGTTAAATGATGCGCTATCGAAAGCGGGCAGTAGCTGTCTGCGCCCACCAAGCATGCAGTGCTACCCAAGGTCAGGGGGTGGCGGTGTTGCCGGCATTTTAACGGGTAAAGCCCAGCTGGGAAGTTACTCAGGAGGAGAATGGAAGGGATTTTCCATAGGCAGCGTTGAGGATTATCTATTTCACCTCATCTTGCATCACCTTCACAATTCATCCAATACACGTTCACAAATGGCGCTGCAATGGCCGAACCGCACGGGTCCGGCCCTCCGGACGGACGGGGCTGGGTGGTGGCTGCAGGCACCAATACGAGCTGCTTGGGCAGAAGAGCCGTGCCATGCAGGCAGCTTTGGAGGAAGGCAGAGGGGTGGCAGAATGACAGGTCTTCCAGCCTTTCAGAGCAGCCTGTTGCAGGAGAAGAGAGAGGGACAGAGATGCTGCACCGGTGAAGTGCTTCAGTCCCCACATCGAGGTGTTCCGGGCCACAGAAGTGCTTTTCCTGCCTGCCAGGGCAGCAGCAGGACGTGCTGCAGTGGAGTTACTCCTCGAGCAGAAGACAGGAGCTTTCTGCTCCGTACCACACACCCCATCCACTCTTATCCTTTTGCCTCATTCTATCTGTGGTAGCACAAGGATGATTCTGAGGATTGCAGTGCTCTACTTCAAAGTGACAATTGGCAGCTGCTACAACTGCGATGGAGAAAAGGGGATGTACATCACAACTGCTTCCTGCCCCTGCTGCGGTAGCAGCCTTTGCTTCCAAGCACTTGGCTGCTCTAGGGCAGGCTCTTAAGTTGAATTCAGTTTAGAGGAGTCCCAAAAAGCTTACATGTGCAGCTATCAAACTATACTTTACTCAAGACGCTGGTTCAAACCACCACTAACTAATTAATCAAAGCAATTTAAAATCTCAAAGTTGTGAGCACTGATCTTTCTTATACCACTGGCTCAGAACAATTACTGGAGCAGAAGCTTGCCCAGCAGCTGAGAACTGTCATTTGGCTGGCTTAAGAAGAAAGGAAAGTAAAATGCAGTAGAGGTATATATATATATTTTTTTTATTCTGAATGTTGTCTGAAGGAGTCCTTTACAATGTTGGATTTTCTGGTGGTTATCTTGCTTAAGGCTTAAGCACAGGCAAGGCTGATAATTGGTATAGGATTTTTTGCTTAGCTTAGGATGGCCATGTCTTGCATGTATTCATATTTCTCTCAGTGTACCATTCATGTACAGCTGTTGGACTTCAATGTCTGTCAGACACGTCAGTGGTAGCAGGTCATTCAGTTTTTCCACTAACTTTTGTCTTAAAGCAAAACACAACAGCTTAGAGAGTTGCCTACAGCCATTTCCTGCCTAGGCAGCTTTTCCAGTTGCTTTAGTTTTGTTTTTTTTTTTTTAAGGCAGCTATGTTTTTCTGTGACCCTCTCTATTTTGGCAAAAGATTGCCCTACTTTGGTCTTGGTTTGAGCTTGTTGAGTCCTTGGATTTAGTTATTATGACATGTATATGATATTGGGCAGTGCCTTTGTAATGTTGCATCAAAAGCTGAATGTAAGAATTGTAAACTTCTTCCTTATTCATTGAAAACAAAGGTCACACTTTCCCCAAGAAATCTGTTGCAACCAGTATAAGAAGTTTATCTCTTAAGCAGCGTGCCAAGAGTTCACATTAACTCTTCACCTCCACTCTTCCTCGTCCTGGCAGTTGATGTTGCTATATCTTAGCCTGAGCTAGCATGAAAAAAAGAACTGCCTTAAGCATTGCTGGGGGGAAAAAAAAAAGAGCACAATTGTGCAGGTATGAGCTGTTAGTCCGTGAGCTTTAAGCTACTCTTTACTTCCTTTGATTTTGGCCTTCTTTTTCCCCTCAGATTTCTTAAGGAAGTGACAGGATCTCTACACCTTTAAACATAAAGGCTGGAGACACGTTCTTTGGTGAAGAGAGAAACAGCAACCAAGGAGGGTTGGGGGGAACAGACACAGGTGGATGTTAAGGTTTTCCGGGCAGGTTCTTGAATGCTCAACAAAGCCTTTTTGCTGTGCCACCATTTCTTACTGCATTAGTTAAGCTAAAACACAAATAACCCAAAACAACAGAAAGACCTGCCTTTTTGGTATTTTTAGTAGCAGAAACTATATTAAAATCAACCCTTAATAGATGACAAGCCCTCTTACCTCTGTTCACGCTTTTCTCAAATACCTTAATAAGGGAAGAAAGATTAAAAAAATATGTTCAGGGAGCAAAAGTATTAACTTTATATAGTTGATTTCATCAATTAGTTGATTTTCATTTCTTTTGGCAAAGGCTTTACTTTCGGTAGCTATTAAAAGGATCGGTTATCAGTTGTCACGCTTAAAAAGTGCTTGCTTTAGTCACAGCAGCTTGCCCACGTGCACAGAAAATGCAATTCTAATGCTAAACATCACACGAGTGAAAATGGACTGACAAACATCCTTGATAACCTGAGATATCTTAAGGGAGATAGCATATTATCACCAAAAACTCCACTTCATCTACAATTGGGATCAGCTCCTAAAGAAGCAAAAATAAGCAAGCGCCTCATACAGGAACAGGCTACGTCTACAGTGACGCAGTCTCAAACATCGCATTCACAAGAACACACACATCACCTAGAGGTACTGCCGCACCGAACAGAGGCACAGTTCCACCAATTACTATGTTTACTCTTCTCTTGCACCACCTTTTAAGAGGCCAGATGTTGTCTGTGTGAGAACAGGAAAGACAGCCACAAGAGCAGTGGGACGGGCTGCACACCTTTGGTGCGCTAGTCCCAACCTTCCTACAGCCCTGAGGAAAGTATGTGAAATATCAGTCCTTTTACAGGTGCTACTTTCAACTACTACATGCCTATCCCTGTAAACTATGTCTTTGACTTCTAGGCTAGAAAATGTAGAGCTGAGTTTTAAAAAAAATAAAGAATTCTTCCTTACATTATTTCTGCTGTACTTAAATTCATTTTTTAATTTCATATGAAGTTCCAGTAATACTGACAAAAGTAATGCGAAACTATGGATCAAATTCCCACTTGTCCATTTGCTTTTTGGACTCGCAACAACATATATTAGGTACTAAGGGTCCTCTTGCAGTCATCCCTATTTTCCTGCTTGAAAGTAAAGCAACTTATTCTCTGACTACTTAATTTTTTTAATCTAATTTAAGGTTTCTGCTATATTGCACAGCTGTAGTTTTTACTGCTCTCCAATATTCAGATAGAATGCTTTATTACAAGCAGCTAGGTTACTCAAGTTTGTAACCCAAAGCAGTACTGTCACCTTGAACGTTAGTGACCAATACCCTCCTGTCCCATCCCCCGTTTCCTTTCCTCCCCCGCCTCAAGTTATTTTTGTCGAAATTTAATGCAAAACATGAAATAGCTCTTAAACCAGAACAGTTGTGCGAACACCTGGAACAGCTCTCACACTTTCAGTACAAAATTTCAGTTTCTTCTCCGTCACTCAAATTGAAGTGCTTTTAATACTGTGATGTTGGAACAAACGGATGAGGACAAGAAGAGTCCTACTGTGGTATTTGAAATTAGCTTCTGCAAAGTTAATTTTATGCTTCAGGAATTCCTGTGGTAACACACCTTTTTCACCCCATGTGTCTCACACTGCTTCACAAACACTAGACACGCCACTTGAAATGCACCCACCTCCACTCAGACTGAGCATTTCGAATGCCGTTACTTGCCAACAGGAAGAGATTACAGTAATTTTATTCAGCCATCAAGCTACTGCCACCTGCATTCCCTACTGGGGCTGCAGATTTTGCTCTAGCAGCTCTGGCCATCACACAAACCCATCTGCCTTGAACAGAGTTTGCAACATCAAGTGCTCCCCAAAAGAAGCTGCTGAAGCATCCAGCTACGTACGCCATAGCAGTGCTGCTGGATTGGTGCATTAAGGTGGTATAAGGATGAGACAGAGACCCAACTATAGCTTCAAATTCTGCAAGGCCCAGATACTCTCCCCTTCCCACCGAGATCCAAGGTAAAAAAGGGTCAGTGAGCTGCACTGCATTTTAATTGCACCAATACAGTTAAATATTAAATGGAGAAAGCAACTCTACATAGCAAATGGAAAACAAGCATTTACATAGTAAATCTGTAAAATGTACAGACTATTCAGTTTTAACCCAGTTGTCTATACATGAACATCCCACTGCAGTTTTTGGTGTTAAAAACAAAATGAACATTTTCAGGTTCACGTAGAATTGGGAAGTTATTGAGAAACAGACTTTCCTCCCTCATAAGCCAACACTGATGGGAGTGGGGGGGAGGGCAGGGCAGGACACCCTAGGCTTTTTCATACCAGGAGAAACACATTGGCAATCACTCCATCTACTAGCATGGGTAGAAGTGAGCAACACTTTCTGAATACACTTGATTTCCACCCCCAACACCCCAAGGGGCATATCCTGTTATCCTGCCAGGATAGCTAACACTACTGAGTT